TACTTCCAGCAAAGTTTCATGTTGTGTCGAGCCTTCTTAGTGTTTTAAAAATAGCGATTTTTGATGCTATCATATACGTGCCCCTAGCTCTCCCATTCAAAAGGCAATTTGACCGTAAACGAAAATACGGTCAAACTTAAAAGTGGCGTTTCCATTCTAATTATGCTTTTAAATGAAAGTTTGCCTCGGGTAGATTAACAAAAAGACCCTAGGTTGCATTTTGGCGACAGTTACCATTTAAGTACGCAAAGGCGCGTAATAACACAAGTGGCATTACGCATTTCTGATTTATGTCGCGCATGCGTACCAGTTATGTGCACCCCTGTATATAATAGACTTATTTAAATCATATATATATAGTATGTAGAAAGTATGTTTCCCATTTGTGGCTGAATTAACCTCCTACTCATATAATCACAATTTTAGGTCAATCTGAGCCCAGACGTCAAATGTGTGAGTTTTACCTTGAAGAAGAGGAAGGTGGGAACTGAAGTGATCTCATACTTCTCAGAAACCTCCGGGACTGCCTCTGCCTCCAGCTAAAGAGAGAGAGAAAACTACTGTACTAATGATTTCTTTATAATTCACATCAATAAAACATCACACACATCAACATGTCAAACATAACACACACACTGAAAGTTTACAAGAAGATTTTTTTTTTTTTTTACATGGAATGTAAACTATCTTAACTTAACTGCTTCAGCTCTTACGTGTAGTGATGACAGCCGATACTGGCAATCAAAATTTGGACACAGTTTATGTTGATTTTACGTTTCTGATGATATTAAAAACATTATGATCTAAAGGCTTATGGTTAAATGGTTGAAACTAGTTTTGAAGACACATAAATTGTGCCTACTGCCTACGCATTCCTTTCTTAAAATAACTCAAATATTAAGCAAAGAAAAATGATCATATTCCATAATTATTTTAAAGAATCCAACATAATTCATTTATATAGAGTTGTTGCTTGAAGAACTCTTCTGTTGTCTGTGTGATGAAAGACAGTATTAACTCTTAACAGGGTAAAAATTCTCTCTGCTGGTTTAAAGGAACACGCCGACTTTTTGGGACTTTAGCTTATTCACCGTATTCCCCAGAGTTAGATAAGTCCATACGCTTTTCATCTCCGTGCGTCCAGTAACTCTGTCTGACGCGCCCACCGCTAGCCTAGCTTAGCACAAAGACTGGAAGTAAATGGCTCCAGCTAGCCTACTGCTCCCAAGTGACAAAATAACGCCAACATCACATGTTCTGATTTGTATAGTCACAGAGTGTGTACAAATAACAAGGTCACATGAGACACAGCCATCATCTAACCGTATACATACTGGGAACTATATTCTCAGAAGGCGAAGCACTGCTACTTGGGCGGAGTGATTAACACCTGAACAAAACAAGAAAAGCACCTGAAAAGCACCGTTGTTACTTCCGTCAACAAAACCAACATGACTAGCTAGCTAGTAGCGAACGTGACTGGTGATCTCAGGTGCGGCGAGCAAATCACTCCGCCCAAGTAGCAGTGCTTCGCCTTCTGAGAATATAGTTCCCAGTATGTATACGGTTAGAAGATGGCTATGTCTCTCATATGACCTTGTTATTTGTTATCACAACATGTACATAGGAAAATGTTGGCGTTATTTTGTCACTTATTGGGAGCAGTATGCTAGATGGAGCTGTTTACCTCCAGCATTTGTGCTAAGCTAGGCTAGTGGCGGGTGCGTCAGACAGAGTTACGGCACGCCCGGAGATGAGAAGGGTATGTATGGACTTATCTAACTCTGGGGGATACGGTGAATAAGCTAAAGTCCCAAAAAGTCGGCGTATTCCTTTAAGAGCCATGAGGAAGGTAAAGTCATTCACAGCCTGAGGCATTTCAATGCGCTCCACTGGGAACCGGAGCAGAGGGAGGAAAGCAGCACACAGGAAAAATTTCGAGAATAATGGGCATTTTCAAACAGGTATCTCAAACACTCCCTGCCATCTGCGGTTGGTCAGACAAACAGAGTTCTACCCCAAAACTCAGCAATTGGTTGAGCCATTACTGGTGGGCTGGTTTAGATGCTCAAACAAAAAGAGCAACATTTTGACTGTGCGACAGTGTTGAACACTTAAAGAAAAAAAGGACTGCGTACATAGTGATATTCCAAAAAAAACAAAAAAAGATTTATCAATTTTGATTTCATGGTTTCATGGACTTAAAGATCCAATGGAAATACTTTATATCCAAATATTACAACTTATGCGAGTACTAAGTCATAGGTGTACCCATTAAAAAAAATAGACATTGAAATGTTATTATATGAGCAAATTTTGGTTTGAAATTAAAATAAAATGTTTACATTATAATTTCATTCAAAGCAGACATCAATTTAGAGGTCCAACATTTGCCTTTCTGCAAACTGGCCAAATAGCAAGCAAAAAATAATAACTTTGCAATGAGAAACAAAATGCATAATAACAATATGGCATATTCAGAACATGGTTCTGTTGCTTTCAGCAGCCAGACATGTACATTTCTGGTAGCTATTGGTGTGAGTTTGAGGCTGTTGGACTTTTTGGGAAACAAATTCCTCTAAAGATACAAATACTAGGCCTACACTTCAACATTCCCGTATAACAAAAGTTTGCACAAATTATCCATGAAAATTATTGCCGAAAATATTGGCAGAAAATAGCCGTGTCCCAATTCAGAGGCTGTGTCCTTCGAAGAGCTCTGAAGTCGGCGTCCTTCGAAGCATGCAGCCTCTGAATTGGGACACAGCTATTGTACTACATTGCTGTAAGAGTCAATGGTCCCCTTTACCTTCACAAACATGGTGTGTTTGTGGTCTTTGGCTAATTCTGCCATCACATCGTTCATCTGTGAACACTGCGGAGCCCATGGCGCATGGAAATGGACAACGGTAAGCGACCTGAGAAGTAAAAACGAAGATGAGCTTTCAAGAAACTTGGATCACAGACTTTGAGATCAAAATTTAGGAAGGATTGTCTCAGGGAAATACACTTTTAAAGCAAATCCATAACTGAATTACTAGTTTCATTTAATTGTGCATTTTATACTGTAATGTGGAGAAGTTTTTAATATAATTTATAATATTATTTATTATTATAAATTATTAAAAATATTATTTTTTTGACATGACAGTGAAGACAAGAAGCTAAAAATACCACAGTCGTAATGACCAATCAAATAAAACATGAATACTTACTTCTTCTTTGTCTTTTAGCTAACATTTTAAATGTCCTTTTAGGGACATTTTTGGTTTTAAGTGCTTCGCACAATGATGGTAGTTCATGTATAAACACTTGCAAGGTTTGAACCTCCTCCTTTACTGAAAACAGCCCAGATCATAAAACACTATGCTGCATCATAATAATAACAATGAATAATTTGTATTAATTAGTTGTCTCTGTTCATATTAATGTTCTTCTGCAATGATACCAGATGAACAGGAAATACTAGAACCAAAATGAAAGTGTGGAAGCAAACTGGGAATGATTGTTGATGTAACCTAGGTAGTTATACGATCTGTGATTATTATTATTCTGATTAAGTCATATTCGCTGAAAATATGTCAAATACCCATTTAAAAAATAATTTTGACATACAAGTTTGGAATGACAGGACCTGACATTGACAACAAAGTACAAAATGATTCATTATAAACTAACGTTATATGAATTAGTATGTCAAATACTGTCAAGCAATATGTCAAACTCAGCCTAGAGTTCTGATTATGAGACTAATACTATTATTCATACTACCACCAATTCTACTAATTACAATAATAATAATAGACTTTGACTGTAACTAAACAGCATGAATTTCTCAAATGCTCCCAAAAACCAAACAGAAAATGATAAAGGACAGCTGACACAAGATATTGCTATATTAAAGCAATTAGTCGATTATCCTAATCTATCTAGATCCTTAAAAATCCATTCATATGGATGTACAATATGTACCGTATTTGTGTTTATCTAAACAGGCCATCGGTTATTTAATGCTGTTCGTTCAAAAAGGCCTCTATAACCGTTCTATGCCCGTGTATATGTGTTAAATTAGATGAAGAGCAGTGCGAATTGAATTATATTTAACGGCAGACTTGACAAATTGTAAATACTTCACTTACTTGCTGTTATTTTTTAATAATTCCTCAAACTGCTTCAGTGATGTCGCGTCCGTGAGGTTCGCCATGCTGCCAGACGTTATTAACCGATCACCGAATTCTCTATCAGGAGGACTCTCTGTAGTGACGCAAGACTTTACTAAACGATAAACGATACCCCTAACATCGAACACATACCAGACAAAATGATATGATATATATTGAGTTAAATATTAGATATTGGTTTAACATATACACTTTTTTGTTATATTTATCATATTAAGTTTTAAGTCACGTTTCTTACCCTTTCTTTCAGAGGTGAAATTGCAGTATGTGGAAATAAGTAGCCTACTGCATCTTTCACTTGAATATTTGTATTACTTACACTAATCGCACAAAGTTAAACATATTACCACACAAAGATATCTTATTCTTTAGAAGACTTGAAATATATCACATGAATCATGAACTACTTTCATGAACATTTTGTGTAATTTTTTTACTTAAAAGTTTACTTTAATTCACTTTGATTTAAGAAAAATGGACAGTGTTTACATATCTACATTGGGAAATCCTAGGTATGATTAGTGTGAAATACGCAACAAGATAAGCAGCAAAATTAAGAATGACCCTAGGTTAACAAATTTAAGTGTGAAAAGTACAATGGTGAGAATAAACTATAAAAGTGTTTACTTTGAGGTGAACTATTCCTTTAAATTACACTCATTCGCGCTCAATACTCTTTCGTCGAATAATAATGCTCTGTTTGACGTAGCCCCGCCTCTGTTTACCCGTACTGTTCATTGATTGGTTTGCGCAACTGTATGTCACTCATCTTGAACGATACAGGAACTATAATTCGGAATAAAAGCAGGACGTGAAAAGTCACACTGGGGAACTACAGCATTGGTTTGATTTTCAAAACCGGCATTTTTAGAATTGTTGTTTGTGTTTATCATATATTGTATAATACTTGTGCAAAAGCCTCGATGTGCGATGGATAAAAGTGCCCGGCTTTGGCTGGTGAATACAATGGGTTTTTGATTTTGCATATATGGGAGTTCTGAGCGGATTCTATTAATTCAGCAAGTGTTTTGAATTAAACCTCTGTGAGCTTAAGTACTGCAAAATAAACAATGGATTGCATAAGTCCCATGCAGAATAAGAGAAGACACGGTGGAGAATATGAACAGTTGCACAAACAGGCGGTAAATTGACTTATTTACTAAATATTTGACTAAATATTCACTAACTCCTGATTCATGTTTTAAACGTAACGTTAAATATGCTTGTAATACTTATGTGTCTGCTTTGGATAGCATTTGTTTGACCTTCTGTGGCATTTGCACAGACTGTTGCCCTTTACAAAAAGAGTTATATGAGTTATTATTAGTACATATATCTATAAACACCCAGCTGATCATCGCTGAAAATAGCTGTTATGATTTATAGAAACAGTGGGCACCATGGCATAACAGCTGCTTTTGCTCTCATTGCCATCTTGTTACATAATTAAGCCGAATATAGTTTTAATGCATCTCTCTGAATTTCACAGAAAAGGCCATGTAATGGATTAGGAGGCAGTGGGCATGTTGAATATGGTGTGGTGGACACTCCAATGGACACATGGGACGCCCCAAATCACAACCCTCAAAATGGACACAACGCCAACGTCCCCGGCATGGTATTTGTTCTCACACATGCCTGTTCTCTGCCTAGTCGAAAATCCTATTGGAATTTCTACCGTAATTTGGAAGCAACTCGATCCGGATCCTTCTTCTTGTTTACAGTGTTGAAATGAACATGTATATTGCTCTTATCTGATGTTCTTGTGTTTATGGTGCATGTGGAATGCAGGGGTTAAAGGTCACAGTCAATTAGGTGGTCTGTTTTATAAAATTGTATTGAACTCAAGAGCTAAAGTTTACCATAAAGTGATGTTTTACATTTAAAGTAACATTGTTTTGTACCAGTATCCTTAACAAAAACATATTATTAGTCTTATTAATCTTAATGGTACAGATCTATTTGCAAATCTTTATTTCAATCTGTAATGTGTTTGGGCTTGTCAGCAGGTGTTGCCCGCCCCGGGACGTGGTGCAGGACAGTATTGCCCCAGATGTATGGCGGGTGAACCTGTGAGTAATATTTGATATTGTTCTGTGTAAGGGTTTGACAAGGGAAAGAATGTGTGGATAACATTCCACTTTTTTTTTAATAATATGACACATTCATAAATTTCTTGTGCAGTTTTTTCATACGCACACTCGGTCTACCTACAGCACTTTCACCGGACGGCGTTGATACAAGCAATATGATTGCCGTTGGAAATTTTGTACTTCCTGCAAATCAATATTTATTCATGACAAGAGAGAAATGCACATTTTGAACGGTTTTCCCCCAGGCCAAAATACCTACCAGCTGATCTAACCACTACGACACGGGAACAGTCAGCATATATGAATATCAATTTGCGTGGGGTTAATGAACATTATACATACAATGCATTGGGTGTTGAGTGAAGCTGACCTGTGTCACATCAATGTTGCTCTCTGTCTCTGGCAGGGCCATATAAACCACATCATGAGGTATTGATCAGCATTGCCGATGACTCCTGGAGAAAATGAATTGACTGAATAAACGGGGAAGGGAAAAGCGCTGCAGAGGAGCAGTCTGCGGTTTATCCGGACCGTGTGGGGTTTTCCCGCGTTGCTTTGTGCCTTTCATGCATTTTCCAAATCACCTCACCTAGTACTGTTTTATCTACAGTAATACCTTTTATTGTTTTGTAGCAATGAGGATTAAAATTCCAAGAACATGCACTCCAGTGACCGAAAAGGCAATGAATGATGGTTTAGATTACACTGCAGTGAAGTGTGTCGACATCTTTGCACTGTACATTTCCCAGTGTTGCTTGGTCTCGATTTCCAAGAAGAAATTGCTGCTGTGGTCAGTGAAACTATTGCATACATATTTTTTAGACTATTTTTCTAAAAATTTAAATAATGAAAGAATTCTCATGACTAAATACGTTTTAATTCAAGTGTAGATTTGTTTTCTTTAACTATATTCATGGTATAACATTTCAGTTTAATTTTATTTAGTTGTTAAATGTTCAAAAATGTACTGTATGTCAGCTTCATTTGAAATGATATTTTTGTAAATATTTTGTCTCGGATTTGTTCAATCGATTTCCCTTTTCTTGTTTTGTTTCCTTTATTGTAGAACACATTTCAGTGTATTCAATGATGTATTGTTTTACATCTTTCTTCTCCTTTTTAACATAATCCAGAATATTTTGCATTAAAGTCTAATTTGGTTAAATGTTTTGTATTTTCTTATCAATTCAGGCTCTCTCTATATACAGTGTGTGTATGTATATATATATATATATATATATTTATATATGTGTGTGTGTGTGTATATATATATATATATTTATATATAATAAAAATGGTTGCTGTTCACCAAAGTGAGCACAAGATGGCAGTGTCCCACTCCGTTTCTCTTCCAGGGGAACTGGGACCAGTCACTAGTGTTTAAAATCCAGCTTTTCAATATTAGATACCACCATACATCTGTTTTTGTGTTTGATCCATTTGAAATATTCTTGGTGTGTTTTTTTTTATTATTCAATTTCAGAATTTATGCAGTTTTATTAGTCCTGTTTGCATGCATATACACTGCTTGGCCAAAAAAAAAAGTCACTGTTTGGATTTAAATGGGCAAATACTTAAAGCTGCTGTCCGTAGCTTTTTTTGGGTTAAAAATTATCCAAAATACATATTTGATAAAATACATAACCAGCCAGTGTTCAAAACTATCTGCTTGCCTTAGCTCGACGCAAAACGGTAAGCTTGTAATAATGTTTTTAATTTTAGTGGTACTGGTGGATTTCCGCGGGAGATTCGAGCATGTCTTTGCGTCATTACGTCACATCTGTACACATAAAGAAGGAGTCTCGGCTAGTATAAGCTATATTGCGTGTGAGGATGTTGGAGGTAGAGATGTATAGCCTTTTCTCACAGCACTTGATATAATTAAACTTATCAATTTGATGGCGGATCCAGAAAGGTTCAAACGACGATCATCATCAGTGACAACTAGAGACTCACCCGCTGTAACATGCAAAAGACTTCGTTCGGACTTCGGAGTGGCTACAGAAGAAAAGAGACTGCAACCGGACCCATGCGAAAACAAGGATAATATCGGAAGGACATTACATGATGTAGTCACGCAATGCTTGCTGACGTTGTTAACATTAACAATTAGAGAACATAGTATAGCTACTTTGCACGGTTTTGCGTGAAATGATAACTTATAAGCAATTGTTAGATTTAATCAGCGCGATTTACTGCAATGTCAGAACCAGAACAAAAGTGAATGTTTCTTACTAGTTCAGATGACATTTCCCGGTGAAAATTCTTATGTTGGTCATACTTCCAAAAAGAATAATCTGTGATTCTGAATGACAATATCCACATCGGCGCGTGACTGACAGCTGCACACTCTCCTCAAACACTGTGTTCATCCGCGCTGTGCCGTGTCGAGGGTGTTGAACTACAACCCACGTAAAGTTGATAATTCCGCGAATGACTGCAATTGCAGATTTCGAACAGAGATGGCGACAAAGAGGAAAAATGACGGACTGCAGCTTTAAGAGTCTATGATTTGATCATTATTCCAGTGGTTATTATGTTTCTAGCATGTTATACAGTATGTGTGGCAACAGTTCTTCTAACCCTTGATGGAGTGTGTAGCTTTTCATTTCTTGAACAACTATGTAGGAAGTCACATCATGACCATATTCCACGATGACAAAGTCAAGATTCATCAGGCTCAAACTGTGAAATAATGGTTGGAGTTGTCCAGACCTTTAATTCATTGAAAGTCTTTGGGATGTGATGGAGGAGACTTTACAGAGTGCTGGACTCTTGCATTGTCGATACAAGATCTTGACCAAACATTTAGGCACCTCTTGATCAATTAGGGTTAGAAGAACTGTCCCCAAACATATAACATGCTAGAAACATAATGATCCAGCAATAGACTCTTAAGTATTTGCCTATTTAAATCTAAACAACTTTTTTATTATTTTATTTTGGCCGGTCAGTGTTTAACGTACTTCGAATGAAGTTTTCTATTCTCAGTAATGACTCGGATTAATAAGAAGAACACCTGCACCACATATTGATGCTTTTTCCACGAGGAGCAAAGACTTGTATTAGCTCTTCCCCTCAGACAGCAAGTTTTAATACTCATTTTGACATGAGCGACTCTTCTCGCAGATATGACTTCCTCATGCTGCGGCCCAGCTCATAAAACAAGCTTCTCCTACAAGAGACTTATAAGAGTGGCCGTGTATTCATAAGTCATAGTTTCTGCTTCTGTAAGTTATAAAGGAATTACCTCAGCTCAGGAGGAGCCGTGGGGATGGGTCGAAGTTTGTGCTAAGTCAACCAAGATGGATTTAAGTATATTACCAACTCAATCTTCCTCACCCTCCCTCAGTGTTAGCTTTTGTCGGTGGAGAAATGAGAGGCAGCGTTCAGACAAAGCTTGACCTCTAGGGGCCAGCTCTCAGAGCCTAGATTTTCAATAATGTAGGACAATAAAGCTTAGTCCTATAACCTACTGCAATATGCTACAAGTGTAAAGAGCTTAGCTGCTAATAAAGGAGGCCGACGAGGAGTGAGAGAGCGAACGGGAGAAAAAAAAGAAAAACAACAACTCATCTTCAGAACTCATATTTGGAGATCAAGTGCGGCCCATAAGAGCATTTCATAAGGACAGTAATGAGATGCTGCAGAGGAAGACGAGGAGATCAGACCGGTCAAGCCTGACAACTGCTATCTGACACAGTGGATATGAATGCGGGATCTTCCTCTAGTCCCTGCGACGCTCGTGACAGGTGCACATATATGTTTGTTTAGATGTTGGTGCTTCCGTGCTCATGGATGAATTATTATTTTCCTCTCCAGCCCCAGCCGGTGACCTGACGCTGCGTGGACCTGCTCCTGGTTTCCCGTAAGTGGCCCAGGTTGCCTGTGTGTTCTCCTCAGGGAGACAAAGGGCTATTATGGGTTTATTGTACAGATCAGCGGGGTCAGGGTACGCCGTGTACGCATGCAGGGGAAATTTCTAGTTCTCGTTCGTCGTCAGCAGGGAGGAGGAAAAAACCAATCGAGCGTTCCAACGTGCTGACTATTGCTTTCTTGATTATGAGTATTAATGATGAAACTAATATTGGCTATGTTCGCAATGGAATATGCTCTTAAAAATAAAGTTTCAAAAGGGTATTTTCACAGCGGTGCCTATAGAAGAACAATTCAAGAACCTTTCAGTTTTTAAAAGAAAAACTGTGAAAAACATTTTAATTATCTGAAGAATCTGAAGGTCCTCATGAAACATAGATGCCAATAAAAATCTTTTTTTTTTTTTAAAGAGTGTACTAGCTTGCCGAGTAGGAATTACACTATAGCTACTACCCACTATTTTTTTTTAAACAATGCAAAAAAGTGCATGTGAGTGGTGGCAACTTATAAAAAAGAGATGTTAAACATAATTGCACTAATTACTTCACATTCATCCATTGCACTGGAAATGGAAGGCAAATTTAAGCACACTGCATTGTGGGATAAAGTAGTCAACACAGTGGGCTCTGTTCAAACCATAGGCTGAATTCAAAGCATACTATCCTACTTATATAGTAGGCGAAAAACAGTATGTGACAAAATGTCCAAATTTACATTACTCATACAAGAGTAGGCAAAAAGTACCCGGATGACCTACTACTTCCGGTGAGATTCTGAAGTGTGCATATGATGGACAGTTTACTATCCCATGAGCCCACAGGAGAGGGTTTGACGCTGGTATAGGTCACATGATAATGACAACATGGCAAATACAGTACGATTACATTCGCACATTCATAGAACATACATTTTTAGCAGTCACAAAATAAGTATCTACTCAAGAAAGTATGCGATTTCGGACACAGTCATTGTATGCTACATTGTTGTCACATGACTTCATCATGTTGCATGTAAATGCCATTCAGTTACCATTAAAAATGGATACATTTTATCCATTACATTGGATGCTTTTCATTTATATATATTTTAGCATATTATTTTCTCCTCCCTTTTAAAAAATAAGTCTATTATTGTGCCTTCAGTTGGATTTCCTTAATTCTATCAAAAACTTGTTTGAGGGCTGCAATCCACAGGTCAAATCAGAACCACTGATTTATGCATACTGAAAAATGTGCATTCTATACTGTAGAAATAGTTTGTATTGCTTTTCCGAACATAGCCATTGGTCATTAAAACTGTTGTAAGCAGACCCTTCCTTATAGACTTGAGAATCTCATAAAACAGGAAACTGTTGCTCGTTGAGAGATCTCAGTTAAAGAGTCTAAAGGCCGAAACCCAGCAGTGACAACCTTTCCATCTTTCCTCTGCCTCTTCCTGAAGTTTAGGCCCGTCTCTTTCATGGCTGTGTTCTTTTCTGGATCTCATATACTCTTACACCATTTCCACCTACTTTGTTTATGAGGCTTTGATCCACAATATTCTAGGCTAAGTTACACCCATGCTCTGCAAGGTGAACCTGTCGGCATTGTTCCCAATGGGAACCTAATACTCGTGGAGTCTTTCCTCTCTCCTCTCAAAAAACTGCTCTCTTTAGTAACAGAATTCTCCAAAGATGCTGAACAAAAGGTCATGCACAAAGACACAATTTTATGCTCCTTTAATGAGTCAAATTTGCTACCTCTGCACTCACTTAAAGATACTTTGCTTGATAACGGCGCATTATCAAAACCCTCGTCAATAAAGGGCGTAACTCTCTGAATGCGGTTAAAGGGAGCGGAAAGTGTAAATGCACCACACGGGTGACCTGTGTATATATATGACCATTTTGCGCCGTTGAGATATCTACATCTTTCGGCCTAATCTTTTGATGTTTCCTGTTTATGAATGGACTGAAAGCTGCACATTGTGGGAAAGAATAAAGAGCCGTGGAGGTGTCTGCATTATATCT